TGAGGAAGATAACAAGACTGTGTAGACAGGCCACTTCACCAGTCACTTCAGTAAATCCCTCCCTGTGGAGAAAGTCAGAAGGCAAGCCTGTTATATCCTGACACAAAACTTGGGAAGAGGAAGATACCAAATAAGTCGCCTTTTTCTGCCCCAAGCCACTCCGTCCTACTCTGAAGAGTCGCCTGGGTTCACAAAAACAACAGGGCCCAAGAAGCAACAATTCGGTGACTTTCACAGGAGCAAGTGAGGCTGAGACCGCAGCGGCACCGCTCCTCCCTGGGCCGGCACGCGGTGCAGAATGCAGCGTCTGCGCCTCCTGCCCTCTACTGCCCTAAAGGCAGGGGCCATTCCCCATGTCGCCCGGGTGGGCACCCAGTTGCAGCCAAAGTAGCGAAAGGACATCCTGGGATGCAAATCGAGCATCCCTCAGCAAGCCGCTCAACCTCTCCAGGCCTCCGTCTTGCCTGGAAGCTGGGACCGACAAACACAAAGCCCAGGCCCCAGCCCAGCGCGGCGCTCCGGCTGCGTACGCTCTGGCGCAGGATCCGGCCGCCCCAGGTGCCGCGCGGCCGCTGCAGCGTTGCGGCCGGCTGAGAGACCGCGGCGCGTCTCCGATCGCCAGTCTCGGCGGGGGCCTTCCACCTCCCGGGCTCCCCAGGTGCCCAGCCGACCGACTCCCGGCGAGGCTCAGACGCACCGTCACAGGGTTCAGACTTGGCGGGCTGAGGCGCACGCTGCACTTCCTCCTTCATTTCCTGTCCGCCGTTCGATGCTCCGGTTGGAAACGGTTCTCAAGTCGCAGGGTCCGTCTGCTCTTCGGCCTCGTCGCGCGGTCCGCCACGGCTTCTTCCGGGCGCAGCACTCTCCTGGCCCGGCTCCTGCCGCGGCGACGTCCCTCCCGACGTCCGGCCACCTCCTCCCTCTGCCCGGCCGCCGCCACCGCGCGCACAAATGCGCCGGCACCTTGCGTTCCCGAGGTCCCCGCCCTTGCCTCGCAGAGGCCTGCGTCGATGGCTGTCAGTAAAATCCGCAAATGGCTGCCGTGGCCCTAGACGCGCTCCAGAGAGCCCTCCCGCTCCCCCCACGTCCTTACTCTCCCCCGGGTCCAGCCTCTCTTCCGTCAGTGTTCCCAGAGGTCGACACAGGCCCCTGTGAATCCCCAGCATCTGTCTCCAGCTGGTAGTCATTGGTGGTCCCAGGAGAGACCCCCCCCCGCCCCCCACAGGCCTTCCCTCGGAGGTATTGCCTCAGGCCACCCTAGCATGTCCCAGCAGGAGCAGCASTGCTGCCCGCTGACAGCATCTGTGTGTGCCCACGCTCTTGTGTGAGGTCTCTTTTGAGGAAGCACCTGACACACGCTGGTACCCACCCAAGGCACCTGTCTCAGATGCTCCTAGATCTCAGCAGGGATTTGGAGAAGATGAGATAGGCCGCTAATAATTGAATGGGCACCAAGAACACGTTTCAGTACCATCTATGTGTAGATTGCCCAAAGCCTGCAAGGAGCCAGGAGTTCCGTCCTTCACTTCCATACCAATCATCTCCTGAAGGCAAGGGTGTTCCTCCTGAGAAATCTAAGGAAGGAGAGGCAAAGACCCAAAGACTTGGGATTTTCATAGGCCAGAACTGGACCTCTTCTGAATTAAAACATGTAAAAGCCATTCTGCTATGGGATGTGGTGGTGTACACCTGTGATCCCAGTGACTTTGCAAAAGGACCACAAGTTGGAGGCCAGCCTGGGCAACTTAGCAATATCCTGTCTCAAAATAAAAAGGGCTAAGGGTGTTGCTCAGTGATATAACACCCCTGGGTTCAATCCCCAGAACTGAGAGGAAGAAATTCCACTGAACCCAACCTGGGAGATGAGGGGATGGGGAAACCAAGACTGACCATAGCAAGACTCACTCAGCAGGCACAGGGATCTTGACCAGGGCAACAAACCTAAATTGAGCATCTGCTCATTCAAGCTTCAAGGGACACAGCTGTGGATGACTACAAGACAAATATGAACCAGTCACATTGTGATGAATACAAGGAAGAGACACAAGAGAGGAGGCTGCCTTGACTAGAAGTCAGAAAGGCCACCCTGTGGATTGGTTGGAAACAGCATGGGAAAAGTCATGTTGCAAGTACTGGGAAAGCCCCAGAAGTTAAAGACCCTCCAAGGTGTAAAGTGCTCAAAGGAGCTGATGAGGCTGGAACTGGGAGAGGAGGAGAGTCCAAGGGTCCCCATTCCATCCAAGAGTGAAATAATGCCTGTCTGGAATTAAAGAGGAGTAATGGAAGGAACTTGCACAGAGCTAGGAGGAAGGAAGTCTGTGTCTAGCCCCAGGACTGCTCATGACTGGTTGCTGCAGGGGTACTCATCTAGGCAGGCCTGGTATTGCCAGGACTCCTGCCTTGTGCTCTCATTGCTGGCATAGKCCCCACTCCAGCATACAGTGAGTAGGCACTTCACAGATGCTTTTTGACTGAGTGAGGGGCAGGGCTCCTCCAGGGAAGGGCCAGGGTTGTTTTCAGATCAGTGCAGGATCTTATCTATAAACTCACAGTTCACAAAAAGCGTCTTTCAAATGGCTGCTTATGAACTCCCTGCAACTGACTTGGTTGAGAAGTCCAAATCTTCTCCAAGAGTTGGGTGGSATGGCACACCCCTGTAATCCCAGCTACTTAGGAGGCTGAGGCAGGAGAATCACAAGACCAGCTAGGAATGTCATTGAGTAGCAAAGTGTCCTGGGTTTAATCCCCAGTACCACACACAGAAAAATATAATCTGCTCCAAGGCCTGGTACCATTATATTGGGGCAAACATTCAGTATACTTACTGTGGATGTTATGTGCACCTACTGTGTACCTGGCACTGTACCAGGGGCTTCCCAAACAGCTGGCCCCTCTAGCCCAAATGGATACAGAAACTCAACAGAGGACATGAACAAAGTGAGTCTTTGTTCTACAGTACAGTTCCTTGAGTCTGCCTAGACAAGTATTCTCCATCCACAGGAGAARACTAGAGGTTACTTCTCTTGATCTTACCACCTGAGTTCCAGTATCTGGAGCTGAGTCCATCTGAAGGACACTGACAGTTCCCAGCTACCACTGCTTGTGGTAGGCCACCCATGATGCTACTTGAGTTGTCCTTGACTCAGCCCTGAGCCACGCAGGCTTAGGTCTCTCCTAGGGAACAATCCCAACATTCCCTTGTGTAGACTACCCAAGGCATTAGATCTCTGGCCTGCTCTGACAACAGAACAGCTCTCATAGCTCTGGACTTGGGCATTACCCATTAGGCTTGGACAGCCCATCTCCTACCTTATTTGGCAAAAGAACATTCCATAGAACTTCTTTTGAAGCTCCCTTTTGTATAAAAAAAAGGAAACACAGGTTCTCCTGGCTCTCTTTCCAGTGTGGAAGCAGGACCCTGAAGGTCACAGAGCCATCCTATCCTCCATCCCAAAATTATGTCTGTGTCATGTGATTTTTTTTTTGTCATATCTCTCAGCCAGCACATTTCATGCAAGGGAAACCCAAAATTCTTAGGCCATGCTGGATGCAGATGAGTAGAATAAGAATCAAGAATTGCAGTGACTCATACAGAGGACATGGTTTCTTCCACTAGGACCAACATCGTTGTTAGGAATGGCTTGTGTGCTGCTGTTCTCCCAGCTCCTGTCAGAACTGAATTCCAATGTGTTTGTGTCTGTGTCTGTGTGTGTTAGTTGACAGGTCTGCCATCAATTCAGCAGCTCAAAATACCTCTCAAGGGCTAGCTCACAATTCTCAGGATCCCAATGCTAACAAGAGGTGATCAATTGGGCTGAATTCTGTCTGGAAGGTCCAAAGGCCAACCTGCTTCCAAACTCATTCATGTTGTCAGAATTCACCGTCCATCCTGTGATTGTACCACTAAGATGTTGTTGCTCAGGCTGATCTCAGTCCTTTGGCCTATCCTTGACTTCAGCCTTTTGGAGCTGGCCTCATTTCTGGGTAGAACTTCTAAGGATCCCTGAATTTTATTCCTGGTCCTAAGTCTTGATTGTTGGTGGAGCAAGCCTTCTCTTGGCCTCACAGTGTCCATCCCTGAAACAGGAGTAGCACTGTGTCTTTCTGCCAGCCTCTCTTTGGGGGAAGCAAGACAGATGTACTCCACTGAGTGCATGCTCCAGCCCTGGCACATTCCCTCTCTTCCACCATCTGGGGTCTGGCATCCTGGTCTCATCTTACACTCAAGAACCAGAGGTCGGGCTGAGGATGTGGCTCAAGTGGTAGCCTGCTCGCCTTGCATGCCTGGGGCCCGGGTTCAATCCTCAGCACCACATACAAAGATGTTGTGTCCGCCGAAAACTAAAAAATTATAAATAAATATTTAAAAAAAAGAACCAGAAGTCCAGAGAACTCAGAAACTTGTCCTCAGGCAAAGAAAGAATGCCAGAGCCTGCCTCTATGTCACTTCAAAGATGGGGTTCTAACCTCATCAACCCAACTACCCTGTTCTCTGCCTGGAACCTGCCCATCTTCGGGCGCAGAGGAGTTGCCCCTGGGAATGCCCACCCCTCTGGTCCATGACATTCCTTTCTCTGAGCACAGACCAGGGTTCAGTGGCCATCCCAGTCTCCAGCAGCTTCTTTCAAGAGCTCTGAGTGGGTATGGGGGCTTATTTCTACACACCCTGAAGCCAGCACAAAGCCAAGTCTGGAGGAATGGCAGTCAGCGGCTGTGGGAGGGTGGAGCACGGGCTTCTCCTCTGCTTTTATCCCTGGGTGCTCCCGCTATGACGGCGGCAGCCCCTGCCTAGGCACTGGCTTGCACTCCCCATCGCCTCCCTCCCTCCTTCCTTCCTTCCTTCCTTCCTTCCCTCTCTCTCCCCCTCCCTCTCTCTCCCCCTCCCTCGCTCTCCCCCCTCGCTCGCTCCCTCCTCCCTCCCCCTCCCACCCCCTCCCGCCGCGCCCGCCCTCGCCTCGCTCCCTCCCCTCCCTAGCACTGCAGCATTCGCCGACTGCAGCTCCAGCCGCCGCCTGCGTCTCTCTGGCCTCCGCCGCCCGTCGCCACCAGCACCATGGCCAGCACCATGTCCGGTAGGCGGCAGGGCCTCGGGTTTCCGGGGGCTGCGGCGGGTCTGGCCTGAGGCTGGGGCTGGTGGCCGTTGCGAGGCTGGCCGGACCTGCCTGAGCGCCCCAGGGCCGGGACTGCAGCGACCGCCCGGAGGCTGCAGAAGCCGCAGGGGCCGCGCCTCGGGCTGGGAGGGTGGCGGTGTCTGGCCAGGGTCGCGACGTTCCTTCGGGTGCCGGGGGGCAGGTCGGGCGTCTGCCGCAGGGTGGTTCCACCAGGAGTTCGGGCACCGATTCTTGTCCCTGGGTGAAGGTCCCAGTGCTGTGTGGAGGAGGGTCACCTGAGGCGCCAGGACCTTAGATATCGGTTCAACCGCGCTTTCGCGGGGGATGGGAGAGCGAGTGGGGCCCTCCCCAGCGGCCCCGGGGCTGTCACTGCGTCTAAGGGGCGCTGGCGGGGGCGCTGCAGGAGGCCCGGACCAGCTGGAGCCCGGAGCAAGAGAGCCGCACCCGCCCCACGCGTCGCCACCCCCCACTCCGGGACTTTGCGGGCTCGGAGACCACCCTTCGGCGACGGCGACGCCAGGGCAAGCTTCTCTGGCCGGAATAAGCCACCACCCTTTGCGCCACGGGCTTCGGATGGTGGGGGAAGGGCTGCTGCCATTTCCCAATCTTCCCAGGATTGGCGGGGGTTTGGGGGGCGGGTCTGCCTCTCCCTCCCTACCTCCGCGGTGCTCTGCAGACCTACAGCCCTCGAAAGCAGTCCCCACCCACGGCCAGCCATAAGTGCGGAGCTCTGGCGGAGGGGCAGACACATACGGACATTGGATGAGGGGTGACCCTCGAGGACCACACACACACACACACACACACACACACTCCCGGACCCTCTGCCCTGTTCAACTGCCCTAGACCAGCTTCGTCTTTCTTTCTTGATGCCAGCGATGACAGACAGCAGGCCCCCACTCCCTCTCCTGCTCTTCCCTCCACCCTGGGGTCGGATCACTGTGGTCAACCGTCTAGCTGGGTTTTCTCCCACGCGCTCACCAGGCCCCAGGCACAAACTCCGCCCACCTAGTGCCCCGCCCTGACTCCGCCCCTCAGGCCCAGTAGAGGAGGGGGCTTGTGTGTCACTGATCAAATGTATCCCCAACCCTGTCTGGGAATCTTGTCCATCTGGGCTTCATCCATTCTTGCCCTGCAGAGATACTGGGACAGCTAAGCTCAGAACTGTACTCTCCCAGGACACCCGAGGCCAACTCTGTCCTTCCCATGGCCAACAAACTGTTCCAATCTGCCCTGAGTCCTGGCCACACGTGTGAGCCTTACTTTGGAAGGCTTGGCATCTTCCAGACACCATGGTGCTCATGGCTTTTGTAGATTCTGCCTTATATTTAGCTCCTTACGCAACTCTGAGACTGACCACCTAACCTCTCAAGGCTTCTGTTTCCCAATCTAAGGGAGACATGATCTTTAAACCTTCCAGCTCTGAATACACAGGTCCAAACACCTGCCTGTGTCCTATTTCCACATTCACAATCCTCCCAATTTCGTATCAGCTCATTTTTAAAACATTACCATGGGACTGGGTTTGTGGAGTTGTAGAGCACTTGCCTAGCATGATGAGGCACTGGGTTCAATCCCCAGCACCACATTAAAAACCAAACAAACAAACAAAAAGGTATTGTGTCCATCTACAACTAAAAGTATTTTTTAAAAATTATCATGTGTGAAGTTTGATCAGAAAGTTTCTTGTCCACTAATACTGAAGCAGGAGGATCACGAGTTCAAGATGAGACTGGGCAATTTAATGAGACCCTTCCTCAAAATAAAATTTTTTTAAAGGTGTGGGGATATGTCTCAGTGGCAGAGCATTTGCCTAGCATGTAAGAGGCCCCAGGTTCAATCCCCAGGACTAGGAAAAAAAATTTCTTGGGGCTCAATGGTAGAGCACTTGCCTAGCATGTGTGAAGCACTGGGTTCCATCCTTAGCATCACATAAAAATAAATAAATAATTGTGTCCATCTACAACTAAAAAAAAAAAAGAAGAAGAAGAAGAAGAAGAAGAATTTTAAAAAAAGTTTCTTGCCCATCTAAGTGTTATACAAGTTCTTGTCTGTTCCTTTGAGGGGTGCTGATATATAACCATGTATGGAAGCTGGATCACCTCTTCTGAGAGGGTCTCTCCGGCCAGGAAGGGTGAGGCATGGGCCGCAGAGCCTCCCAGACTGGAGTGGGGGGCAAGAGCACAGACACCCAGGACTACACTCTGACATTCTCACGTCACTCCAGCAAGCTGGGTCCTGGAGTTGTGTGGAACTGGGTGACTATAGGGTGCTTACAGGATTGTTGAGCATTACTGAGATAGTGGGCCCACACTGGAGTTCAAACCATGTGAAAGGACCTGAAAGAGTTGAATTATTCCATTCTAAGAGTGGATGTGTTTCCCTTCCCCCAACAGGAGCCAGGGCCACAGTTGCCCTGACTAGCTCATTTTCTTTTCTGGTCAGATGGCAGGGACACTAGTTGGTGGCACTTGATCTGGAAGGGCAAGAAGGTGAGCTGTGCGGGGCTGGGGATGTGGCTCAAGCGGTAGCGCGCTCCTCTGGCAAGCGTGCAGCCCAGGTTCGATCCTCAGCACCACATAAAAACAAAGATGTTGTGTCCACCAAAAACTAAAATAAATAAATAAATAAATATTAAAAATTCTCCCCCTCTTTAAAAAAAAAAAGAATTCCTAAAAAAAAAAAAAAAAAGGAGGTGAGCTGTGGTGCTGAGTGGACAGCTCCTCCTGTCCTTGTCCAACCCTACCTGGGTGGACAGTATGTATCTGCTGAGGGTGTGGATTTATCTCAGGGTGACCACACTGTCCTCAAGATGAATAGAAAAGACACAGGAAAATCTGAGGGCTTCACCCAAGTCTATAGTTCAGAAAGTTTACAGTTCAAGCAGGGTGGCACACACCTGTAGTCCCAGCTACTAGGGAAGCTGAGGCAGGAGGGTCCCTTGATTTCACCAGCCTGGGCAACATAGTGAGAGTATGTCTAAAAAAGATAAAAACAAAGAAGAGAAAGAAGGAGAGAGAGCTGTGGTGCTGGTCCCAGTCGTGGGAATGGGGGTTTGGCTAGGCTTTGTGGTACAACTCCTGTGATCCCAGATATTTGGGAGGTTGAGAGAGGAGGATTACAAGTTCGAGGCCACTTAGCAAAACCCTGTTTCAACAGAAAAAAATAAAAGGGGCTGAGGATGTAGTTTAGTGGCAAAATGTCCATGGGTTCAATTCCCAGTACAAAAAAAAAAAAAAAAAAGTGAGGCGGTAGTTGGTTTTGTCTGCCTGAGAGAGAGGGAGAGGAACAGGAGCTAGTGGGGGATGGGAAGTATCAAGGGCAGAAAGCCACACACCAACAAATAATCACAGAGAAATACTCAGAAAGAAAATGGGAGGGATGCACTGTGAGAGAAAGGCACAAAGACAATGACAGAATCTTAAAGAAGGGTGAACAGAGACCCAGGCTGTGGCCCCATCTGTTCAGGTGGGCATAACAAAACACCTTAGACTAGGTGGCTTCTAAACAAGAACAGTCCCGGAAGCTGGGAGTTCAAGATTCCTGAAGATTTGGTGTCTGGTGAGGTTGCTTCCTGGCTCATAGATGCATCCTCACTTCGACCTTACCTGCCAAAATGGCTGGTGGCCCTCGCTGGGTCCTGTTCTCTAAGGGTACTAATCCCACTGGAAAGTTTCACCCTCATGACCTATTCACCTCCCCACAGCCCTACTCTTTTTTTTAATATTTATTTTTTAGTTTTAGGTGGACACAGTATATTCATTTTATATTTATGTGGTGCTGAGGATCAAACCCACTGCCCCATGCATGCTAGGCGAGTGCTCTACCACTGAGCCACACACAGCCTCCAAAAGCCCCATTCTTAACACCAGCACACTGCCTTAGGATTTCAGCACGTGAATTTTGGGAGGACACAGACATTCAGACCAGAGCAGGCAGAAAGGGACATATAGAAAGATTAAGGCTGAGACCAAGAGTGATGCAGAAGAGTGAGACGGGCAGAAACACCCGGAGAGAAAAGGACTCCAGGAGGGGAGAGACTGAGAGACAGAAGCACAGAAAGAACAGTGTTGGGAGATACCACCAGAGTCCAAGCTTGGAGACAGGAGGGGGAGAGGAGGGATGGAAGTCAGAGAGGTGGGTACATAGTGTGATGAACAGCTCTGTCTCACAGGGTGGGAAAAATGGGACCCTGATCAGCAGACTCAGGGGTGGGGCAGTGATGGTACCACTCACCATGGCCTCATGCCCACAGCCTACAAGGAGAAGATGAAGGAGCTGTCCGTGCTGTCACTCATCTGCTCCTGCTTCTACTCACAGCCTCACCCCAACACCATCTACCAGTATGGGGGTGAGTGGGCCCACGTTGTTGTTGGCCTGCTGGGCCAGGCCTGCCCACCTTGCCTTTCCTGCCTCCCCTGGACTCTCAAGCACCCTGGCATGGCTGGATTCTGCAGAGGGTGGCTTTGGGAGAAGGGCCCAGGCCTGAGAGTCTTGCATGAGCATCTTCCCCCTTCCCTCAGCCCCTGATTGGCATGTTGCCCCACACAGTCCCCTCACCTTGCCCCCGTCCTCTGGCCGGCCCTCTTGATGCCCTGTCTGGTCTTGCCCTGCAGACATGGAGGTAAAGCAGCTGGATAAGCGGGCCTCTGGCCAGAGCTTCGAGGTCATCCTCAAGTCCCCTTCTGACCTGTCCCCAGAGAGCCCTGTGCTCTCCTCTCCCCCCAAGAGGAAGGACGCCTCCCTGGAGGAGCTGCAGAAGCGACTGGAGGCAGCTGAGGAGCGGAGGAAGGCAAGCAACTCTCCCGGCACAGGCTGCCCTGGGCCTTGCCTGGTCAGGGCATAGATCTGGGGCCCTGGAGGACTCATGATCCAAAAAGGGTCTTATCCAGGGCAGGGGAGTGTGAAGGAAGGGCCTCACATCTGAGAACACTCAGTTGGAGCAGTCAGGGGAGCTAAATGGGGTCCTGAGAGAAATGGGTGTGGGCTCCAGGTTCCTTCCCCATCCCTTCCCCTACACCGGCACTTTTATGACTGAAACAGAGAGAAGGACTTGGTTTGGGAATGCAGCCCAAAAGCTCAAGTCCACTGGCTGTCCAGTGGGAAGTGGCTATCTTAGGCACAGTGACCAGGCTAAGCAGGACCCAAGTCTACTGGTTACCAAAAGTGGCTAGTGCAGGGGTGAAGCCCTCTGCAGTCAATCAAAAGGCAAGAAGCATGTAATTATCCTTGGGAGCCTGGAGTCAGTCTGCCAAGGAGACCCCACCCAGGGTCACCAGGAGATGGTCTTTCTCCCAGCAGGAAGGCTAGGCAGTGTTGCTTGGGAGGGATCAACCCCAGGTCAGGGCTTGTCTTGCTCAGATGCTCTCAGCCCAGTGAATAGAGCGGCAGTTCTGGGCACAAGGGTGAACCACTTCAGTCCCCCAACAGTAACTTTCAGTGCCAAAGCCGGGAAAGTCCCAGGCAAACTGGGCGGTACAGTGTAGGCCCAAGCTCTTAGGACGTGTCCATGAACAACACGACAGTAGGACAAGGCGCGGGGTAGGGGCAGTCAGCTGAGAGCAGAGGAGGTACAAAGTCTGCCCTTTGCAGCAGAACCGTGACCCCCTTCTCCCTGCCCGACCCAGGCCTGGAGATGGTCAGACTGTCCTCAGGACGGCGCCCGCGGTCCAGCACCCGCAGGCCCGGGGCAGAGGAGCCACTCAGGGTTTGGCTGGCTGCCTAGCGCCAGGGAGGTGGGCCGGGGCGCGGAGGGGCCGAGGTCACCGCTCACGCGCCCGGCCCCGCGCAGACACAGGAGGCGCAGGTGCTGAAGCAGCTGGCGGAGCGGCGCGAGCACGAGCGCGAGGTGCTGCACAAGGCGCTGGAGGAGAACAACAACTTCAGCCGCCTGGCGGAGGAGAAGCTCAACTACAAGATGGAGCTCAGCAAGGAGATCCGCGAGGCGCACCTGGCGGCGCTGCGGGAGAGGCTGCGCGAGAAGGTGCGCACACCGTTGGGGGGGCGGGGCAAGATGACGGAGGGCGGGGAAGTGGGACGGGGCTGGGGTCCTCACGCAGGAGGGCGGGGCTGAGGGGCCCCTCCGGACTGCGAAGCACCACGCCCTGGCTGTCTGTTAGGTGCTTCCAAAGCGCACTGCCCCGCCGTTGCTTTTGTCTCCCGTGACACACTGTCCTGCTTGAGAAATACCTGAAAGTATTTCTGTTTCCCCGAGTCAGAGAAGACCCTGGGGGCCAGCTCCCTCTCAGGCCACGCTTTAAGGGTACCTCTTGTCTTCGCAGGAGCTGCATGCGGCGGAGGTGCGCCGGAACAAGGAGCAGCGGGAGGAGATGTCGGGCTAAGGGGCACTGGACACAGCGGTGACAAGAACGAGTTTTTTTGTTTGCTTGTTTTGTTTTGTTTTGTTCAACTCTGCCTAGATGCAACTTTTGTTCCTGATCCATCCCTCCCCGCCCCCGCACCCCCAGCTTCATGCTTCTCTTTCCGCACTCTGCACTCCCAGTTGTCCAGTCCTGATGGTGCGTCTGACCATGGGCTCTCCCCGGAGGAGCCACCAGGGTGTGAGACATGGTCCCTCAATTCAGATACAGGACCAGGTGTGATTAGGTCCCCTCTCGGTGGCTCCCTTAGTGGATATGGTGGCAACCTTAATAAATCTAATGGCAGTGTCATGGGTCCTTGTTTTGGGTTGTCTGGTCACATGAAGGCATGTCCTTGTGCCAACTCCCCTCTGCCAGCAGACAAGGCAAGAACATCTTCCTGTCTTCCCATGGGTGAAGGTTCCACAGGGAGTAAATGGCAGAGGAGGAAAAAATTGGGCTGGGTCTGTGGAGCCCCCTCCCTCTGACACTTTAGCTAGCCCTGGAACCTGTGTGCAGCATAGCTGTTTGGAACTGGTGGGAAGGTTCTGCAGCATTCTTTAATGTGGTGGCATAGGGTGTGGGCACCCTAGGTGAATCATGGAGTCTGTGGTCATGGCATAGGGTCCTGGGTTGGGTAGGCATGACCTGAGTCTGCTGGGTGCATGAGCATTCTCCTCCAAGTACTCACGAACAGACTGTTGTGATCTAGAGAGTTGTGGGCAGTGTGGATACTGTCTCCACCCACTCAGAAGTGCAGGCACTCAAAGATCCCAAGCCACGGCCCCTATCCCTCTGGGCTTTACAGATGCCCTGAAAGAACCTAGTCCTTAAAGCCCTTTGGAGTTTAGTGTCTTTCTCTGCTCTCTGCTCTGGTCCAATTATGCTCCTGGCCATTGGACTTTTAGGTTCCCCTCCAGGGAGGTGTGGCCAGGTGTGAACACAGTAGTAGCCACAGGTCCTCAGGGAGCCCTTTTCGAGGGCTGAGGGTAGGTGCCAGGACATGAGGGTGGGGGGTTCAGGACCAGCTGTCTTCAGATTCAGATGTTGGAAGGGCAGGGTCAGGGTTCCCAAGCCAGCCCCCATGCCACATCTGTCCTCAAGATTCCTCACCAGAGGGTTGGAAGCCTGGTTCTAGGCCTCTTCTGTCAACACCCTCCTAGGTTGGGTCCCCTCTTCTTCAGCAGCCCCCAATGCTCCGGTGCTGTTTGGGGATAGTCACCTGCCTATGTGCCACAGCTGCATCCCCTTCTTATCCATGACAACTCCACCCAGTAGCCAAGTGTGAGGGCAGGATCCTGCTTGGTGTGAAGTATGAGGACAATGACACAATTCTTTCACAACTCAGAGCTAGGGCCCCAGAAGCCAGGTTGCAGCCTACAGGGGCCTTGGCTTTTATCAGACAGAAGACCTTTGGAGGACTGCAGGTGGTCATCCATCGGGGCCCAGCTAGAGATGGGGGCACCCTTGTCTCAGAAAGCCCTCCAGAGGGAGCAACAAGCCAGGGTTGGAACCAGTGGTATCCACGTGTGGCTTTTGTGGGACTGAGAAGGGGAAGTGGAAAGGGAGCTAAGGTTGGATTTCCCTGGCAGGTAATAGCTATCTTGTAGCCAAAACCTAATGCAGCATGCACCTGTCTTATCCATGAGTGAGCTTAAAACTAATTGAACAAACACCTGTGTGTTTAGAAGTGGCTGACTGCCCACTCAGAGTGTCCTGCATCTGGAACAAGCACCACAGGGGGTGGCTTAAAACAAAGAAGCCTCATCTCTCCCAGCTCAAGTGGGCCTCACGGCGAGGGTGGGATAAGAGATGGGACGACTTGAGCCATCAGTGCAACCTGACCCTGATCATGCAGAGGGCACTGCAGGACAGGGAGTGGGCACTTAAGTCACTGTCTCTCCATGAGGCCGCTCCACCTGAGCCTTCACTCCCCTCCATAGCCCCCAGTCCTCCAGCTGTGGCACTCTGCTGACACTTCCTGTGGGTTTCTACCATCTTATCAACCTGAGCCCTAAGTGCCTGGCTCAGGTGCTCATTGCTTTCTGGAGGCTGGAGATGCAGCCAGTGATAGACTGAAGCCTTAGCCAAGGCCAAGAGTTCAATTCCCACTACCAGAATCCCTCACAAAACCAAAATCTGTTTTTTTTTTTCTTTTTGAACTGAGGTCTTTCCAAGTTACCCAGGCAGGTCTCAAGCTTTTGGGCTGAAGCAGTCCTCTTGCCTTAGCCTCCTAGGTGCTGGGAAAGGTGTGCACCATTGTTCTAAAAGCTAATCGTCTCGTGGCAAGTAGAATAAGGGCCTCTGTGAGACAGTGGCCATCTCCTGGACTGAGGGTCCCCTTGTGGGCCTCAGAAAGTTGCCACTGGTGTGCTACAAACCCAACCAAAGCCACTGTGAATGTTTTTCCATTAATGTTGCCAGAAGCTCACACATTGGGTGTTTCCTCAGCCTCCTCAACCTGTGGCAGTTCATTTCCTCCTTTTACTACCTTGTGCTCTGAGGAGTACCCATTAGCTACTTTGCTGACTATTCCTCAGTTTCTCATGACTGGACTGGGTTGTGCATTTCTGGCAAAGAGAACCAGAGAAATGAGGTGTGTCTTTCCGTGTATCACCTCACAGTTTCCTGGGATCAGCAAGTCTCATTGGTGGTGATCTGATCTGGTTTCTCCACTTTAAAATTACTAGTTTTCCCTTGGTAGCTATTAAATCTTGTGGAAGGCAGAATGATGGTTCCCAAGATGCCCACGTCCTCACCCATGGAATCTGTGATTTGTCTCACAAGCGAATGGAAGCTGCCAGTCTACAATTGTAAGAGGTGCTTCCTGCATTATCCCCACAGGCCTAATGTCATCATGAGGGTCCTTCAGAGTGGGAGAGAGAGACAGGTGTGCAAAAGGCAGGAAAGGATTCCCCTCTGGATCCCCCAGGAGTCGTTAGCTGTGCCAGTACCTGGATTTCAGCCCAGCAAGCCTGAGGTTGGACTTCATTTCTCACCTACAGAGGAATAAAAAAATAAATTCATATTTTGAGCCCTTTTTATTTTTGGCTGGCAATTGAATTCAGGGGTATTCTACAATGGAGCCACACGCCCCCAGCACTTTTTAAAAACTATAATTTTTGAGATGGGATCTCATCAAGTTGCCCAGGCTGGCCTTACACTTTTTTTGTTTTTAACAACTAATAATTTATTAAAACAGTTGACTTAGGCATCTGCAATGGTGACTTCCACCTCCACTCCTGGCTGGTGGAAGTAATCTGCTTAACAATCGCAGAAGGGCTGTGCAAATCAATGAGTCCTTGTGGATTCTCATCTGCAGACAATCCTGTCTTGGAGCCTTCACCACAAGGTGTTTTTCTTGTGGTGCTTCTCAAAGTGTTGGTAGGCATGCAAACAGGTCCCCTCACTTTGAGATGCTTCTCCTTTGAGCCTCTGATCAAGTCAGCACACACTTTCTCAAGTGATTTCACATTGCCGCTGGTGAGGGTAATTCTAATTTGGTGAATTGCCATCTCTGATTCCATGGGTGTCTTTAAATGCCATGGCTGTGGCACAGTTTCTTAATTTGTTGCTTGGTGAGCGAACAGCAGTGAGTCAGGAGCAGAAGCGGGCAGCATGGTGCTCTGTTGTACCCACAACTGTGTAGCTCTCAAAAAAGCTGGCCTAAGGGCTGGGGATATAGCTCAATTGGTAGAGTGCTTTCCTTGTGTGCACAAGGCCCTGGGTTCAATGCCCAGAAAAAAAAAAAAAAATGCTGGCCTTAAGCTTGTGATCCTCCTTCCTCAGCCTCCCAAGCAGCTGGGATCACAGATGTGCACTTCTGTGCCCAGCTAAACCACTAAATTTGAAGCAATCTGTTGGAGCAATAATAGAAAGCTAGGAAAATAAGTACTTTAGGGGAGACATTCAGAAACCATGCAAACACTATTTCACCTCAAACTTTTGCTACTTAACTTTAGCAACTATCAGTGGATTCATACCTGTCACAAATAAAGGTGACTGCTTCCTTCTACATTTATTGACTTGTTTTTCCCCCCAATATTGGGGATGGAACCCAGTAACTCACACGTGCTATTTTTAATTGGAATTCAGGAAGAATTGTGCTATTTTCCCACTTACTTGGCGACCACTCACATCCACATGGCAGACTGGCAATGCCCCGTATTGTGGCCATAATCCAGCAGTCAGCACTTACTAGTGCTCCCATAGTCAGAGCTCTAGCTCCCGCCAGTGAGACCCTTCTGGCTAGTTCTAATGCCTGTTCCACCAAGGCCCATCTTTTTTTGGAGCAAGTCCCTATCTGGGGGTGGGGGGCACTCACTTAACACTGGCTTAGTCTGCTGCAGCAGAAATACCCATATGGCTGGCTTATAAACAAATTTCTCACAGTTCTGGAAGCTGAAGCCCAAGGCACCAGCAGAAACTGCTATCTGGAAAAGTCTGCTGTTGGCTCAGTGTGGTGTCCTTGTGTGTGGGAAGGGGCACATGGCCTCTCAGTGGTCCCAAAGACCCCACTTCCTATGGCCATCATCTTGAGGRTTAGAACTCTGAAGCAGGAGCACTTGGTGGCACTGCTGATGAAATAAATCCATCCCAAGAGCACTTTCAGTCCCCTCTGCCACAGGATCATTTCTGGCCTTGTAGGAAACAAAAGTCCAGCTCCATGGCAGGATGGAACAGAGAGCAGAACCTAATTCACCCTTATCCTAGAGTGGTCTGGTCTTATTCCCCTCTGATGCCTCCCTGGAAGCTGAGGTGGGTCGGAGTGATAAACAGGGGGACTGGGAGCCAATGCCCACTCTGGCCCAGCTCCCTAGCCTGTCCAGCAGCAGGTGCCAAAATTGCATGAAGTCAACAGCTGTAACACCATCTGTGTCTGTCCCCGCAGGCAGGCCTGATCTTGTTCTTAGGGCCACTTCCACCACTCCCCTTTAATCTCATTGGCATTTACTTCTACAACGACAAACACGGAATATTACCAGATAATAACCAAAATAACTGCACGGACAAAAGTTCAACAATTTAACATGCCTATATTTTCAACACATACACAATACATATATTTACAATATATACTTACAAATTCTAAACATATGTATGTTTTTATATCTACATTATGTATTCACAGTTAGCTTTATCTTATTTACTTATTTTTATGTGGTGCTGAGGGTCGTTAATTTTTGACGACTTTCCTTCACTGGCTCGAGTAGGTG